ATTCTCAAATTCCAGAAATCGGTTTGCGTCCTCCCCCAATAGCAACAGCAAGAGGTCACAGAAAAAGGTTATTGCTGTGGGTCTCTCTCTCTCTCTCTCTCTCTCTCTCTCTTTCTCGATGGCTGGTACCTCTTGACCAGGCTGCCTGTGTCCACTGCAGACCAAACAGGGCAGCTTTCGAATCTCAGCAGAGAGGGGAAATGAGGGACTTAGCACAGAACCATGTGGAACGTGGGTGAAACCACTTAGGTGCGCTCAGAGAAGGCAGTGGGTGACCTGTGCCCCCCCCCACAGTGAGGTCAAGATGAGCAACTCCTCTGCCCTCGGGGCAGCTCAGTCCTGCCTGATTCTTGTGGTGTGAGCGCCACTTCACACCTCAACAATCCAGGCGCTGTGCCAGTACTGAACCATCTCCTCCACCGCCCCCACAGGCCAGGTGACAGTCGGTGCTCAGCTGGAACCCGACCCACCTAGAGATGGCGCATCTGTCTCTCCAGCTGGGGAGCCTCCCTGGGGATTTCAACTTTGTGCATCTTTGACTGACATGCTAATTTGGAGTCCAGCCCCCAATCCAAGCTGTGACCCAGTGAGTGAACCCTGAGCCCCTTGGCTATTTTCACTGCTAACTCTGTGGGGCAGCTGGTGGGCAGGGGGCTGGGACACGGGGCCTGGACCTCACTGCTCTCAGGCTCAGTAATGATCTCGGGACTGGTGAGTCCAATCTGGGTCAACTCCAGATGGTCTTGGCTTAGAGCTTTTTGGAGAAAAGGCCAACATCCCATCCCCCCCCCCAAGTCACATCCATTGAAACACAAAAATAATGGAGACAGCCCCCTCCCCAAACACACACACACACACACACATACACACACACACGCTCACACTCTCTCTTCATATAAATAAATAAATAGTTGAATAATTAAATACTGCTAATGGTAAGAAACAAAAGGATGGTCATATAAATAAATAAATAAAACATAAATAAAATAAATAAGAGGTTTGCTTAGGAGCCCCAGGTGGAACGGTCCCCTAGAGTTGTCCGAATGAAGACAGTGGACAGGCAGCTCTTGGGGGCCCTTGTAGCTGTCCCTCCAGGCAGGTTTGGTGGCTCTGGGAAGCTTTTATCCCAGGCAGGGAGACTGGAGTGAGGTCTAGGTCCTGGGCGAGGAAGAGGGTTATTTACAGCTTCTGTACATGCCCTCCCAGGGCACCTGCCCCTGTCCTGGGCACCTGCCCCTGTCCTGGGCACCTGCCATCCGGCCTTCTGTGGTGATGGCGTTGGTGTGGATGAGGCCTGGTGGGCAGGGCTCTGCTCTGGGCCAGAGGCCACGGTGGTGGGCAGGCTGGGTGGTCCACGCTGCCTTGCTCTTCTCTCCTGATGGAGGGAGGATTTGGAGGGTGGTTGCCGGGTGGTCGCTGGCCCCTGTGTTGCTGCGGTGGGGAAGACTGGGGAGGGGGAGGTCACTCCTGCCTTGGGTGGGGAGGATCCAGAAAGGCCGATCTCGCTTCCCCACACATGTCCCCTCGGGCTGCTGTTGCCACCACAAACTTGAAATTCACCCACAAGCCTCCGGAAAGCCAGGCAGCTGGTGAGGGGGATGCCCAGGAGGTTATTTTAAGGCGCTTCGCCCTGGCCTCCTGCTCCTGGGACCGTCTGTGGTTGAAACAGCTGGTGGTATTTGTGCGGCAGAGGGCAGCTGACCCTGGCTGCCCGGCCCTGGGCTGGGGGGAAGATGGGGTGAGGGCAGAAAATCAGGTGGAGCTTTCCCAAGTTCCCAAGGAACCTCAGAAGCTAGAAGCAGCCTTGGAGCCCCTTCCTTGCCTGCAGACTCTCTGGATCTGGGTCTTTCTCCCCGAGGCTCAACTGAGGCGCTCATCCTGGCAAACTTCCTGAGAGGCTTAGGCTAAAGGGTGGGTGGGTGCGCGGGTGCCAGGCTGACCTGGGTAGGATCCAGGGTGTGGCAGCCTGGGCAGTGGGGAGGGGGCAGGCAGGCGCCAGCCAGAGGGCAAGGCCAGACTGGCTGGCGCTGGGGGCTGGCAGCTAGCCACAGCCCTGGGGAATGCTCAGCAGATGGTCCCGTGGAATTCGGTTGGTGCCAGCTAGATTTGGGCAGTGGGGCTGTGCCACTGTCTTCTCTCCTGGGGAGCCACAGGGCCCTGGTGCACAGTCAGAAGGCATTTTGTGTCAGGCAAAGAGTACCTTACCCAAAGGCATGGGGCGGGGCCACCTGGTAGCAGGAACCTGCAGGGCTCCTTCCCCTGACCCTGCAGAGATGCTGGGGACAGCAGGTGAGCCTTGCGTTTTGGCTTCTATGTTTGTAACCAGAGATCACATCTCCCATCTCCTGACACCTCCCATCAGCTCCAGTATCTGTGTCCCCGACTTGGGCATGTTTCTCTCTCTTCCGGCCTTTGCCTGCTGGGGGAGATTAAAGGACTGCTCTCTTGTTGGGGACCTCAAGGGCTCTCGGTGTCCTCTCTCACCTCTCTCCTACCTGGGGGTCCATAAAAGTACAGCTGTGAAACGGAATGAAAGGAGACTGAGGGCAGGTGGGACCCATTACCCTTGACTTTCTGAATGCATCCCGTGAGCAGAACTGTTGCCATGTTATCCTGGCCAGGATCCACATTTCCAGTCCTGGACTCATGGATTCTCCCAAAACCTTAAAGGTTGTTTTGTTTTGTTTGTTTTTTGGTATGTGCCAAAAATGCCATGGTTCCTTCCATGTGCCCAGGCCTGAGTGAGCCCCAGGATGGTGCTGGTAGAGGCTCCTAGCAGCTTGACATAGACGGGGAAGCCCGGTAACCCTCTTTTCTTCCTCTCTAGGAAAGCAGGAAGGACAGGATCCGGGAGACCTCAGTGTCTGTCACCGGGGAGAAGGCAGGGAGGGCAGGCAGTAGGGGAGGCTGGCAGAGCCAAAGGGGTTCCCGTGGGCAGCTGGCTCAAGAGAGGGCCCTTGCTTAGCGCCTCGTGCTGGAGTAGCTGCCTGCTGAGCTGTAGCTGCGGCTCCTGCTCCGGGAGCCCAGGCTGGGGCTGCGCCCACTGGAGCTGCTACTGGTGCCGGTCCTGCTGCGGCTCCGACTTCGACTCCGGCTCCGGCTCTGACTTCGGCTTCGGCTCCGGGAGTAGCTGCGGCTGGCTGAGCGGCTGCTACTGCTGTACCAGGAGGCGGTGCTGCTGAGGCTGCTGGGTGAAGAAGGGCTGGGCCGGTAGTAGGGGATGGGGCGTTTCCGGGCACTGCGGAGACCCCAGAGAGCAGGCAAGGGTTAGACTCCCAGCCTCAACCAGGCAGCCCCAGTCTTGTCCCCAGGAAAGAGAGAACTTTTGCATGCATCACCCCCTCGGGAGAAAAACCCATCCACCCACCCACCAAACCACCCTCAACTCCTTTCCACTTGCAGTCTTGAGAACACCAGGGACTAAGTCTCATCTTAGCAGCACTAGGTCTTGAAAAGTGATCATGTCACTCTTTAAAAAAAAAAAATAATAATAATGATTTTCACAAAGCAAGCGTGGGCTCAGAGCCTCCAGCTGGTAACACAATTTCTACATCTAAACTTCGACTGCAGTTTTGTTTCGCTATTTTTTACTTTTACTAGAACCTTCTATTTCTAGTAGTTTCTATTTCTAGACAAGAGAGGCTGATTTTCCATTTACTGTAGTGGTTGTCAAGTTTCTTTTTGAAATGAAGTTGGGGGCCTCTGAAAAGAGGCACAATATTATTTAAAGGAAATTAAGCAAACAATGTTACAGTTAATAAGGGGGGGGCAAGATGGTAAAGATGGGACAGGTGGCCCACGTTTGGGACACACTGAAGGGATCAATCAAAATGGGTTATTTGGAGTTGACTAAGGAAAACAGATGGCCTTTTCGAATGCCACTGGTTTGATCTCAGTTGCCTTCCAGTTGACCCGAAGGACATCTTTAGCAAGGGAATCCCCAAGAGTTGAAGCAGGTGCTCTGTGGAATCTTTGAGAAAGGGATTCAGGCATCCTGGCCTTACTGCCTGGGACCCCTCTTCTTCTTCTCCTCCACATCATCTCCAGGGAGGACACACTGGACCATCAACAACCCTGCTGCCCTGAGGGTCTCTGGATTGAGCTGATGTTTGGAAAGTCAACCCAACTTTAGGGCAGGCTTCAGCCATTCTCCAAGGTTTCAAGGTCCGAGAAATTTACTTCCACTCAGACATCGTGCCTCTCCGAGATCGTCCCTGTGACAGGTGACCCTGTCCACCTATTCTGACCATTCAGTCGATAACAGTAAGGGCACAGTGTGGTCTGCATTTCACTTCACAGAGTTCATTCGCATCTTTTCATTTCACTTCATCCTGCGGACATTCCCGGGAGTTACTTCCTCCCATATGAAGGGTCAGGAGAGGTGAGGAGATAGAGGTCCAGCCAGGATTCAACTCCAAATCCCCCGTTCCTCCCTTGACCCATCGCGATCCCATCCTTCTAAGTCCTTTCCACACCTAATCACCTATAGGAGTATTTAAATCTGGCATCTGAGTATGTAGGTCCGAGGTTGAAGGTCTTCCTCTACTGCCCCAGCAGATCCACCACCAGGCCCACGTCCTGGCCTATGACTTGGGCCTCCATTGGGCCAAACCCTTCTCCCTTCCGCAGCCCGCATCTCCCACCCCAGAGTTGGCACCCAGGTCCAGCCACACCCAGGCCACACCCCCTATTATCAGGATGGCCCCACCCCTTTCCTATGGCCACACCCTAACCCCGCCCACATGGCTCCACGTCTCGCCCCTTGCAGACCCCCCCCCCCCCCCCCCCCCCCCCCCGCCCCGCAGGGTGGACCTGGAGATGACTCTGCCCCCAGGAGGGTGTCCCTGGGCTCCCACAGTTCTGCAGTCCCGGCGCCACACAGGCAGGAGAGTCTGGGGTCCCACCAGTTGGGAATGGTGAGGGTGGACACCCGTCCTCCGGGCCTCACCTTGTTATCCTCCGGGCCTCCAGGTGGCTCGGAGAGTCTCTCCGGCGCTTCCTCATGGGCGAGTAGGATCGACGTCTTCGACGCGCTCGCTCGCGCTCCCGCTGCCGCGAGTCCTTCTCGCTGTACTTGGGGTCCCGCTCCCTGAAGGGTGGCGGGGTGAGTGCATGGAGAGGGGACACTCACGTCCTCTTCTTTCCCCTCCCCTCCGCCCTACTGGGACAGAGATGGGCCCAGGGAGGACCACCCGGCTGTGGGGAGAGTCTGCGTGGGCGAGCCCCGTGGGCGGAGCTGGCCTTGGCTTTTGGGGGTCCTTGGGGGTGGGCATTACAGAGGCACCAGCGCTGCAGGGGTGAGCGGCCTTGATGCATGGGTAAGAAGTGGGGCTTAGAATCCCAGGGCCAGCCCAGGGAGTGCTGGGTGGGCCAGGAGAATGAGGACGGGTGTCCAATGTGGCCGTGGGGTTGGGTGGGGTGCTGTGGCTAGGACACGGGTGTTTGGGTTGTCCACTCTGATTGGACAGATAACTGCAAGAACACTGAATTAATTCCCCGTCTCTACCTCTGCAGGGTCGAGGATGGAGGACTAGGTGGAGGACCAGGTAGGGCAGGGCTCCGGAGGCAGCCTGGGCAGCAGGGCAGAGGCGACGACCCTAGCAAAGGGGTGTGGCGAGGAGGCGGGGCCTGACCCAGGAGGCGGGGCCTCACTCTGGAGGCGGGGCCTGTACCTGCTGGGGCTGTAGCGGGAGTAGCTGGGGCTGCGGCGGGATCGAGAGCTTCTGCTAGGCGGGCTCCTCTTGCCAGACTTGGAGGAATAGCTGGGAGAGCGGGAGTAGGACCTGGGAAGAGGGAACAGCTCCTAAGGAGCCTGCTAAGCGTGTGCGAGGGTTGTATGGATGTCTGCCGTTTTATTCACCTAGTCCTCAGGCAATGACTTTGTTTTCCCCCAACACATACTTCCCTGGAGGCCAAGCAGAGGAACCAGGTCCTTAGCAGAGAATGAAATTCCACCACCTTTGGGTGGTTAAAAATAATATGGGTGGTTATTGAATGAATGAATGAATGCTTATTATCCTGGCTACTTATTAGCTGTGTGACCTTGGGCAGGTGATTTCACTTCTCTGGACCTCTGTTTTCTCATCTCTAAGATAGGGGCAATAATAGCACTTACCCTGTGAAGTTGCAAATCAAATGAGTAAATTCGGGTGAATCACTTAGCATGTTGGTGTGTATGCGAAATGTCGATTAGCCAACAGGTGAAATGTTAACTGTGATTATTATGTATTTCATTATGGACCAGACATTGAACTAGTGCTTTGTGTGTATCTCATTTAATCCTCAACATAATCTAGGACTAGGTATTGTTTTCAATCCTATTTTATAGATTGGGGTGGGGGGAGACAGAAACACAGAGATGTAATACAATGGCTCAGGATCATACAGCTGGTAGAGGGCATGAATCTAGGTGTATTTGGTTCCAAGATGCTCTTGACTTCTGTAGACTACTGTAGTCCTCTCTTGTCATGGTTTTAGTTGCCCACAATCAACCATGGAGTGAATTTTCCACCATTGAGTGTAAAATTCCAGAAATAAACAATCATAATTTCTGAGTTGCATGCCATTCTGAGAGTCATGATGAAATCTCTTGCTATTCTGCTCCAGGTTACCAAGGAAGTGAACCCTATTTGCCCAGAGCATCCAAGCTGTATATGCTACCCATCTCTTGGTGGCCATCTCACCATCAGATCCACTATCCTGGTACTACAGAGGCTGTGTTCAAGGAATCCCCAAGTCTACTTCATAAAGACCCATGAGTGAGAGAGGGGTGATGTTGGCATTTTGGTATATGCCAAAGAGAAGCTGTAAAGTGCTTCCGATAAGTGAGAAGATGCATGTTCTTGACTTAATAAGCAAAGGAAAAAAAATCAGATGCTGAGTAAGTTAAGACCTATGGTAAGGACAAATCTTCTCCGTGAAATTGTGAAAAAAGGAAAAAGACATTCATGCTAGTTTTGTTCTTGCACCTTAAACTGCAAAAGTTACTACCACAGTGCATGAGAAGTGCTTAGTTAAATGGAAAAGTTCTTTCATTATAGTATTTGATTTTTTTCTGTAGTGGTGGGAGTTCACTGGGGGTCTTGGAATATATCTCTCGTGGACAGGGGAAAAATGCTCTATATGATTGTTCATTCAAATTGCAAACCTTATGCTACTTTCAGTCTTCTCTCCTCTCTGCAGATGCCTCCCACATTTTACTTATTTGGTACTGGGATTGAACTCAGGGATACTCTTCTGATGAATCTTATCCCCAGCCCTTTTCATTTTTTATTTTGAGACAGGGTATTCCTAAGTCACTGAGGCTGGTCTTGAACTTGTGGTCCTTCTTCCTCAGTCTACTCAGTTGCTGGGATTACAGGTGTTAGGCATGACGGTAGATGCCTCCCACCTTTGCAGAGTATTGTGAGGAAGAAACAGCTCATTCAATCTCAGTGCCTTGAGCCAATGCTCAGCTCTGGCCCCTGAAAATTGTTTTTGCCATCTTGACTTTTGTTCATTGAGAAATATTATCAGAAAGTGTTAACCTAGTCATCTGCAGCTAAGATTAAACTCATTGTTTCAGGGGCCTTCTGTTGATGACAAGGGATACTAATTTTCTGTTTTAGTCAAGGGGTGGAGGTAAAACAGATGGTGGGCACCTGGCAAGGACCTTGTCAGGCATTTCCATCCACAGTGCCTTAAAGTGTCCCTTTCCTGTGGAGTCACATGAGTCATTTTTCATAGACTTAAAATCAGAAATAGCAACTGGTTCTATTATTATTAGTATTTTGGTTAACAATGTAGCAATTAATAGAGCAATTTCTCTTTGTTTACCAGGGAGCTCCGGGGTCATGTTTGCAGCACCCCTCCATAACTACTATGCACAACATCTTAGGGACTTAAACTTTCTCTTGACTTGATTTTTGTATTGTTCTCCTAAATTTTCCTTTTAGGCCAAAGGTCTTGCCACCTTTTGGGGAATGGAGTGGTCTTGAAATAACCAAGTCAGTCACTGGTGTCCTGGTTACCCAGTTCCAGAAGAGGAATAATTGGCTTTCTGCTGGCTCCCAGAACCCGAGGGAAGCTGCACCCCATGAAGCCATGGGTTGGTGAGATGGGATGGAATCTTCTAGTTCTTGAGATCTCATGCTGGTACATTCTGTTACATTATTATCCCACATGAGATAATCAAGCAGTTACCAATGGTTATTGAAATTGGGAGGTAGAATGCGAAACAGCCATGCTATTTTTCTGTCTGTATCCTAATCACCATGGTGTGACTTTACACCTCTGCATGCTAGGAGGAACATCCATGCACTGGACTGGTCTTAGGACTTGCTCTGGCCAATAGAATAGCAGAAGGGGTGTCATGTCTCTTTTTAGCCTAGGACTCAAGAAGCCTTGTACACCTTTGCTCTTTCTCACAGAGCCTTCCATCACCATGTGAACAGGCAGGCAGGCAGGCCTGCTGGTGGTCAAGAGGCAACATAGAGTAGGGACAGTTATTATGGGGCTATCCCCCAATTCAGCCAGCCTTCGGCCAACCCACCAGGTAACCAAAGAAATGCAATAGGGCCCAGGGAGAGCAAAAGAACCAGCTTGCTGAGCCCAGCCCCAGGGGCTGATCCATAGAACCAGGAACTGAGTATACATTTGAGGATGCTAAGTATAGCATTTTAAGGATGCTAAGTTCAGGGATAATTTTTTATGCAGCAGAAGCTAACTGATACACATTAGCTCATCCTCATGCCAGTTGCAACAATGACAGCTCATATTCCATTATATTCTGGTACATTCTGAGAGCTTGATAGTTCTCAGAACAGTCCATTCTTTCATTTTGCAGATGAGAAAACGGAGACTCAGCTGGTGATGGGTAGGCTGGTATCTGAACTCAACTGTTTCCTATTCCCCGGGGGTCAAAGGAAATTTCTAGTTATCTTCACTCACCGCCAAGGAGGAAAGTGTGGCAGAGCGAAGGTCAAACCTCACTCACCTTTTTTCAGAGGAGGTGGATCGGCTCCGGGTGTACCTGGGGGAGGCCCTGGGGTTTGGGGACCGGGAAGAGAGACTGGAGGACCGGGTGCTGGCGTAGGAGGAGCTACGGGAGCACTCCTTCATGGGGGAGCTGCGGGCTGTGGAGGGGACCAAGCTGGACTTCTTCACCTCCACACATTCCAGACAGGGCGACTGAAATCCTCTGTGGAGGAAAAACGTCTTTGGTCACACCGCTGCCTGCCCCCAGGGCATCTTGATCCATGGCCCCACCCCTAGCTTTGCCTGGCCTGGTGGGGGGGGAGGTTCTCTTAGAACCTTCTTTACCTTCTCCCCTCCTGAAAAGACTTGCCAGGTGACAGATGTTCGAGGAGCAGAGATAGAAGGTGTGGAGCACATATCACTGCGGCCACTTGGGCATATGCTAGTATCCTGGGAGGTCACCCAGCTTGGGCACCGGTGCTAAGTGACATCAAATCACATGGTGAGAGGTTTATTTTCCTCCTTATCTTTGTCAGTCCCTCTGATTATGTGGATGAGAAAGACCAGGCTAGGTGCGAGTGGGTTTTTAACACCTCTCCAACACTTTGTGATCTCCCCAAGAGAGAGCAGCAGGCATCACTCGGGCTCAGAGCCTGGGGCAGGCGACTGTAACTCACTGGGATTAAATACATTGTTCCAATCACCTTCAACTAGAATTAAATACAGGGTTTCAATTGTGTATATTTTTATAGGTGCCCTCTATAGGACAAGGGATACCCATGTAGTTTGGTACTAGGGATTGAACCCACAGTCGCTTAACCACTGAGCCATATCCCCAGCCTTTTAAAATATTTTATCTAGAGACAGGGTCTCCCTGAGTTGCTTAGGGTCATGCTAAGTTGCTGAGGCTGGATTTGAATTCCTGATACTCCTGCTTCAGCCTCCTGAGTTGCTGGGATAACAGACATGCACCACTGTGCCCAGAATGGAAAACCTTTCTTGACACTCCCCCAAGCCCCAGAGAGGGCTGGGCGATCTCAGGGTGTTTCCATAGTCCCTGCTGCCCAAGTGTCCCCATTTCTCTCTGGCTCTTCTCCAGCCCCAGACAATGAGTCCCTTGAGGACAGAACTCAGATTTCCCTGGATACTACGTCCCACTCTAGCCCGGGGCTTGGTGCACATATCCCAGGTCATCTGGAGAATGAAGGTTTGGAAACTTTTCCTTCCTGGGTTCTTCCAAAACATCCTTGTTCAGTCTTCCCAGCCCCCTCATGAAGCTGGCCTTATTATCATCCCCAATTTACGGAGGAGATTCAGAAGCCTATTATCTGCTCAAGGTCACCCATAGTCCCAAACTCAGAACTCCAAAGCCCACGTCCCTGCCACCTCTCCAGCTCCCTAACCCCCTATGGCTCCCTGAATTGAGACCTCTGCCCACAGCTGGCCTGACCCAAAATAGCAGTGGCTTTAACCACCATTTATATTTCAAAGTGAAAGGCTGGGTCTAAATGATTTAATTTGGCAGTTCATGTAGATCCAATTAATCAGGTAACTGCTAGGTGTCTCTCAGACCTCAACTGCAGCTCCGGAGACAGATCTGTATTTGAATACTAGTGCTGCCAAGTGTCGACCAAATTTCTCAACCACTCTGAGCCTCCGTTTCCCCATCAGCAAATGTACATATGATACTCCCTCTCCCTGAAAGGGCTCATGAGGAACTAAGGATGATTATTCACGGACAGCCCTTTGCAACATACTACCTATCATGTGTTAGGGCTTCATAGACATTAAATGTCATCATTTTTATTATTATGGTTGTCATTGCTTTGCTTACTTTTTCTTGCATAAGAGCACTGCGTGTGTATCAGCAGACATGACACGGGGCTGCCCTCTCCCATCCGGGAGCTTCACCGCCTGTTCTTGGAGAAGTTGACATTTGCTCTGACCCAGCTCTGGCTCCCAGCCCAACTGGGTGTGAGCTAAGGCCAGGGATATCCCAGGGCAGGCCAGTGACAGCCCAGGTCCTCTTGGACATGCCAAGCTGTTTGTCCAGGGCTGAAGCAGGCCATGCGTTGGGGACCAAGGGTGCTCCGTCCTTGAGGAAGCTGTGAATCACTTCTGTGCTAAGAATTTGGCCATCTTTTGGTAACCCTGACCACTTTGAACCAGGCAGACTCCCATCCCCCAGAGAAGGGAAGATCTCCCTGCTGGGTGGTTGGGTGCACCAGCAAAGCCTTCCTGGCCCTCCTGTAGTTCCAAAAAAAAGGACCCACCATTTTTATGTCCCCCTGGCCAAGCCGAGTTTGTGCCTACAGGAAGTGAGTACATGGGAACAAGCCGAGGGATAAATAACCTTATGGTCGGTGCAGACTAAACGGTCAGTCGATTTCAGTGGCTATTATTGTGACAGTATCCTCGGTGATTAGCATTTTGCTGTGATTTCTTGAGATCCAGGGCGTGATGAAGCCGGGCCATTACAATTGGCTCAGACACAATGGTATGAAGTGTTTTCTGCAGGAAAAAATATTGCATCTACCAAGTGTGTTGAGATGGGCTGATTTTTTTTTTTTTAAAGCTTCTACCTAAAATTGCATTGGGATTGATCTCTCTCTATATGTGCGTGTGTTTTTAATGAATCAACTTTATGTTTAGAGCTGTTTTAAGATGCACTGCATAATTGAGTGGAAAGTACAGGGAATTCCTAGAAGCCCCCTCCTCCACCTGTGCCTCACCCCTACCACCAACATGGCCCACCAGATTGGTACACTTGTTAGGAGTGACTCTTGACATGCATTACAATCCAAGTCCACAGTCTACGTGAGGGTTCGCTCCTTTTTAAATGGGGCCGCTGCAGGAGGGCTGGGAAAGCCATAGGTTTGGAAAAATGAAGGATGCCCACTTATCCCTTTGTGTTGTATCATAATATAGAGTCATTTTTCGGTCCTAAAATACACCTGCCTGTTCATCTCTCCCTTCCCGGAACCCCTGGCAACCACTCATCTGTTTACTTTCTTCATAGAGTTTGGTCCTTTCCAGAATGTTGTATAGTCGGACTCATCGAATATGTCAGCTTTTTAGATTGGCTTCTCTCACTGGGTAACATCTATTTAAATCTCACATGCCTTTCCGTGGCTCGGCGGCTCATTTCTTTTTATCGATGAATACCGCTCCATTGTCTGGGTGCCACGGTTAGCCATTCCCATACTCAAGAACGCCTGGATTGCTTCCGAGTTTAGGCAATTATGAATAAAGCCTCTATGAACATCCACAGGCAGGTTTTTGTGTATATTTTCACTGGGTAAATATTGTGGTATGTTTTTTAAATGACGGTGACTTAACAAGGAAGCTCATGTTTGACTTGCTGCTGAGATTATTGGTAAAGCTGACATCTGTTTTCTGCCTGCCCAGCCTCCCTCCCTCCTGAGAGCAATATTTTGACTTTTCCTGCAAGGGTACCTGGGATGGATGTCTTCATTGGCCCCAGCTGTGGCATGTGACCCATTCTAGCTAAGAGTTTGGCATCCCCTGGGCCAGAGCGACTGATCCAGGGATGGGCAAATAATCTAAGCCAGGCCAAGCTGCAAAATATCTCTCCTGATGTTTTGCTAAATTTTTTTTTTGGGGGGGGGTGCGGGAAGAAGCATTTTCCCCCATTGGCTGGCTAATCTGCTAGATAATGTTAGCTGCTCAGTATATTTGCCCATGCTCTGGGAGGGTCTGCTTGAAATTGAGGCCACCAGATCAGGGAAGCAAGAGCTGAGAACTATATGCAAAAGACATTCCCAATGATATAATTTTTTGAGCCCCTGGATCGAGCTATACCTGAAGTTAATAACTTCTTCTGGAATTCTCAAAAAAGTAAGCCAGTAAGCCAGTTTGAGTTTTCCAAAGCTTCTGGGGAAGAGGCTGGGGTGCTATGATGAGACAGAAGGTGAGAGGACGGCCTCTCGCAATCAAATGCACTGACCTTGACTCTCGGCCCCTGCTGGTGGGAGAGAGATTCTCCAGAACAGCCCCCTTGTTCTGGGGAGAGGAGGTGGTGAAGGAGTTCCCTGAATCCGAGGTGTTCCCGCTGTGGAGCTCCTGGCTCTGGCTCAGGTCTCCCCGGGGACTCTCCTTCTCCTGGCCCCGGGACCTGGCGGAGCTGGTTTGCCTGGAGGGCGGGGAGGACGTGTCGTTGCCAGAGTCATACTCCTGGGACCGTCCTCGGGAGGTGGCGAGCGGGCTGGCTGTTTTGGTAAACAGGTCAGCGGCAGACCCCGACCCAGTGATCTGAAAGCAAAAAGACCCATCGGACACGGCTGAGCCCAGGGCTGCGTCTCAGTTACCAAGAAATGTTTACCATCATGATGCACTGTGACGAAAGTAAAGAGAGGAGAGAGACGCCAAAAAAACAAAAGCACAAATTCCTGAAAGAATACCACAGAAAGGAGATAGATAGAGAGAGATATATATATATATTTTTTACCCCCTGCTATGATAACTGGAAGATTTAGGTATCATGCAGAGAAAAAGCATGCGATCCAGATTAAACGAAAGTAAAAGGAAATTATACAAAATTTAATTTCTAATGAATTTTAAACTCAAACAAAAGAGACAACTCAATCGAAAGGGAGGGGGGGGTGTAGACACCCTGAACCTAAAGCAGTAATAAAAAATTAAAGAAGAGGAAGAGGAAAAAGAAATGGGGGTGGGGAGGGGCTATGGGCCTGGGGGTGGGGGTGGGGGTGGGGAATAAATCTTGGAAATAAAAATAAAAAGGAGATAGAGTCAAAAGTTCAAGCTTCAACCAAATCCTTAATTAGTGTAACTTCTTTATTTTTATTTTTTTTTAAAAAATTGCCTGCATAGAACCCTGAACAAATGTCACATGGGGGAAAAAAAAAGAAATAAAATAAAGATGAGAAGTTTTTTTTTTTTTAAATATAAAGTCAAGGTCACAAATTGACATTTGAGCAGTTTTCAACTAAAGGGGGAAAGAGGGCCAAAAGAAAAAAAAAAGTCAATTAGTCGGACTGAAAACAAATTAAAAAAAATAATAAACAAAGGTCTCTACAGGTATTTGTGTGTGTCCTTTTCCCCTTGGAGAAGGTAGCTAAGGATCTTGAGTGGCTTCTAATAAATTCGCTCATGTCTTTGCGGATCATATCCACTTACCAAGCAAGAACTCCTCCTTTAGTAGGTAAGGTGTAAGAGAAAGGGAAGAGCGGGCAACGTGAGTCCATCATCATCAGAGTCGCAATTGACAAGAAAACACACACACCTCTCTGCACACCCTCAACCTTGGCCCTGACCTTGGAGTCTGGGACTGTCTGGTGCTCCTGGCAGGTG